CAAACTCTCTACCCAGTGCTCCAATCAGAAACACTCATGGTACACGAGTCAGTTTGCAAGTAAAGCAACAAATATGGTGTTTTTTTTTTTTTTTCTTTTCAGTCAAACAAACCCCATGCTCCAATCAGAAGGGATGCTCAATAAGTGGGAGCGCTGCTGCTAGAAGCACTGGCCAGGAGACATACTGAACCACTGGAGACTTAGGAGTCTCTGTTGATCAGCTTTCCAACTTTCTAGAGTGCCGATAGATTTTTTTTTTAAACCTCTGTTTCAGCACAAAAAAACAAAACACTACTATACACAATGCCTGAGTGCATTACAGTAATAAATATGGAAGCTTTGATGCGTTCTTTAACCATTTGCCGCCCGCCCTATGGCCGAATGGCAGGCGGCAAATGTCATCAGCGTTCTGGGTGGACGCCAGAGTTCTGGGTGTCCTCCCGCACATGCACAGATTGCGCTCCTGCAGAGCGGCGCAGCGGCGCGATCTGTCACCGGCCGTGTACCTCGGACACGGCCGATGACAGATCTGAGTATCGGCCCCGTTGCCGGTACCATGTGACCTGCTGTGACCAATCACAGCAGGTCACATGACAGTTGTATACAATGGATGGCTTCATTCATGCCATCCATTGTATACTAGTGTCTAGCTGTGAATGGTCACAGCTAATCACATGCACATGTCATGTGATTAGCTGTGGCCAAATCACAGCTAAGCACAAAAAAAAAAAAAAAAAAACCCTGAATGAATCGATGTCATTCAGGTAAATGCTTGCTTATAGCAAAGTAATTCTTTGCTATAAGCAAATTGTTTAAAAAAAAAAATAAATACTGATCACTTCCCCAAAGTAGTACAATGCTACTATGGTAACATTGTACTACATTGGTCATAGTGAAATATAAAAAAAAAAAAATCTTAAAAAAAAAATAAAAAAAATTAATTATATATATATATAATAATTTTTTCTTTTTTTTTTCATACCGTCACCAGTCAGTGTCCCTGATCACCGCCATGCCAGTTATATGATGACGCTGTACTGCACTGGTGACAATATGTAAAAAAAAAATAAATAGTGAAACTAAGTTTAATTTTTTAATTTTACGAAAAATTATGACCAAAAAAATACAACTTCAAAAAACTTGCCATGCCTCTTAGGAAGTACGTCGGACTGTCTACTTTGCAAAAAGGGGTCATTTGGGGATATCTGTACTGTTCTGACATTCTTGGACCTCAAGAAATTAGATTGGCTGTCAGTACTTCAGGATTGATCAATATTCAGATCTATACCATAGTTTGTGAACTCTATAACTTTCCTACAAACTAAAAAATACATCCTAATTTGGGTTATTTTCACCAAAGACATGTAGCAGAATACATCTCGGCCTAAATTTACGAAGAACAATTATTTATTTGCAAACTTTTATAACAGAAACAAAGAAAAACTTTTTTTTTTTCAAACTTTTTGGTCTTTTTTTTGTTAATTTAGCAAAAAAATAAAAAACCCCGGCTGTGATTAAATACCACCAAAAGAAAGCTCTAGTTGTGTGAAGAAAATTAAAAAATTTTAGTTAGGGTACAATGTTGTATGACCGCGCAATTGTCATTCAAAGTGTGAGAGCGCTAAAACCTGAAAACTGGCCTGGGCAGGAAGGTGTAAAATTGCCCGGTATTGAATTGGTTAAATAGGTAGGATCAGGCTGAATGCCACAAAAGTTATCCCTAGAAAAAAAAGAAAAGAAAAAAAATGGCAGCTAATTTGCACCTCACGAGTTTCCCTTTAAACTGCCGCATTACAAGTTAACACTCCATAGTGTATTTTATTTATTAAAGGCACTTATATTGCGTTCTCAACGTACACAGTGCTTTACACTATGAAAAAATGCAATATGTGCAATGTTATTTCTGACCTCCCAAAACTGGCAGTGGGCTGCCATTTTCTGACTTCAGTCAGAGACAGTCGACGACTTTGAATAAAGTCAGAAATTCTGATTTGCATATTTGTTCCAGATCAATAAGAGTATTAGAACTGAAAAGCCAGCATTGGAGCCAGGCAAAAAGATTTGTCAGAAGGTGGTCAACAATGGCAACCACCATGTTTCTCTCACTACAGGTCTCCTTTAAACAGTGTAATAAAATGATGGAGAGCCCAAAAATAAAGAGCATGGCACTGAAATAATAGATTGGAAAGCAAGTGACACACACACACACACACACACACACACACACACACAAAGTTGATATATTTGTAAAATGGAGTCATCAGAGGTTTACTGTGTACAATTATCCTAGAAAGGAAAAAATACACCAAAATAAACTTTCCATAAAGCACAACTAGACTCATTTTCTGCACCTTGAACCTATTTAGCTGATATAAACTGAGTATAAAGTTGTAGTCCTTAGAAAGTAGCCACAACCTGAGCAGAGAAGCCTGTCTCCTGTCAGCATTTGTCAAAGAAGGAAGCAGTAGTCATTCTGTAAAGGTTCAACACACCTGCTGCATCAGAACTATTCTCCCCAATCAGCAAACTATATGCTTCCTGCTGTTTGGAGAGCTCAGCAGGGGGTCTGATGGACCTCTGAAGAGAGACCAATGCTTTACAGAGAGAAAAAGTTCTTCTTTGAAGTATGCCAGCAGGGGGTAAACTTTCCTACTCAGGCTGTGGCTGCTTTCTGAACCAATAACACTGTTAAACTTTAAACATTTTTTGTTTCCTTACATGTTAAAGTGGACCTCCCCCCTTAAAACTCACATGAGCATACAGCTCTGCATGCTGATATGAAATCATTTCATTAGTCAAACATTTTTTTTTTTTTTCGCTTTTACTTACACTTCCTGGTTGAGTGAGGCACTGGTGATATGACTGGGGCCTTATAGATACATGCTGGGAAGTTCCTGTCACATGTTCCAAGAGGCAGGTCTAAGCAGAATTCCAGAAAGTAAATGGAGGTGCCATCTGTCTTTAGTAAAAGTGGCCACAGTTAGAAGGAAAAGAAAAATAATGTATGCAGAGAATAATACGCCTGCAATTATCTAGAAGGGTCTCTTTGGAACTCGCGGTTACTAAAAATGACTATAGGTGCCTTTGTTGTAATTTATGAATAGGGTGAAGTTCCTCTTTAAATATATTTAGCTGATTTACACTGAAAGTTTAATAGGGCTTTAACGTATTTCTGAAGTCATTTTTTTCTAATTTTCTAAATCTAATACAGTAGTTGGATCTTTGACAAAGTAGATGTTAATCTTAAAGATATGGCAGCAAAGTCCCAACTCTGACCACAACCCCCCTTTATCCATCTCCAAAATTCTCTCTGGAACCTTCTATAACCCTTCTTTTTCTACTCTGGTTCCCTACTTTCACTTTTGGCCAATCTCCAGGCATACATCCCTTCTTTTTGGTTCCCTTAGGGAATATTGAGATTCATATAATCTATAAAATAGGTTTCACTTTTTAAAGAGGGTGCTTTTATGACAATTCTTAAAAGCAGAACTAAAAGGCATTTTGGATAGAGTAAGGGAGAGTTATAACCCCCATTGGTTTAGTTTTTTTTGCCATCTGCACCTCATTTGAGATTTACCTTCATTACATGTCCCATAGCCAAAACAGGAAGTGGAAGGAAATCCCTGCGAATTAAAGTGGTTGTAAAAGCTGAAGGGATTTTTTTACCTTTATGCGTTAAAGTAAAAAACCTTGTGTGTGCTGCTCTCCCACAGCCCCCCCAATACTCACCTGAGCCCCCTCTCGATCCAGCCATGTGCATGAGAGTCTCAGCTGTCCTGGGACTCCCTCTCTTTACTAGCTGAGACAGCCTGTGAGCCAATGGGAGGGGGTGTCTTAGGAACACAGAGCTGGGCTCAGGAGCGAGCAAGCACCTGTGCCTCCATAGCAAGCAGCTTGCTATTGGGGGCACTGGTCAAGGGGGAGGAGCCAGGAGTGCTGAAGGGGAACCCAAGAAAAAGAGGATCTGGGATGCTCTGTGCAAAACCACTGCACAGAGCAGGTAAGTATTACGTTTGTTATTTTTTTAAAGAAAAAAAGCCGAACCTTTAATAACACTTTAAGGGATTCCTTGGGGACCCCCAGGCCATCAGAACTAGTGTCTCCATTGGAAGATTTCCTCTCAATTACTTTTCTGAGGACAACCCAAAGTTTGGGATTTTCTTTTACTTTCAATGATAAAATAGTAAACAGGACAAATAAGAGAGGATGAGTCTCCCTAATGTGGGCATGGACAGCAATAAAAACAGACAAGTGTCCTCATCCTTCTGCACTCTATCCAAAACTATATAAAAAAGTTTTTGCCTTTAGTTCTGCTTTAATAGTAATCCTTGAATATTGTATCATTGTTCTGTACCAGTCTGCCCCATTCAATAAAAACGTATCAAAACGAAGAGACAGTGGAGAAGTTTAGGCTTAGAAGTTTAAAAACAAGAAGCAGAGATCTGTAGAACAAACCATGCAAAAATAAAAGTTCAGTTGTCTCAACCATAAAAAACATACAACTTTTTCCATAATAAATAACATATGTAACATAAACAAAATTAGTCCATTAGGGTTCCCAGTTTGAGAAACAAATGCCAACAGGTTTCAGTAGAGTCTGGTGAGAAATGATTGGAATGTCCTGCACCACACATTTTGCTGGTCCCTTCCATCTTCCTAAACCTGAGAAACAGATTTGTTAGAGGCTTCTTTGGGTCTTACAACCTCTCATAGGCAAGGTGGAAGAAACTAGAATATTGACAGCAAAAAAAAGGATACAAAATTCAGGTTTAGACACCAAGCTTACCTCCACTTTCCTCACCCATATTCACGGAGTGGGAATTTTTATCAACATTGCTGGCTGGTTTTCTACAGACATAACAAGTATTTTTATTTTTATTTTATTGGTAAACTAAAATAAGCAGGAATCATTTATTCAGTCCTTCTTTTAGAAGACATCATACACTGTGCTCTGTTGTATACAGGTACATCCTTAATTTGATCAAGAAACGCAACATCAATTAATCGGGCATAACAAGTGCATAAGATCCAACCTGGCCTTCTTGTTTAAGCTGAAGTATGAGATCTTGTCTGCTTCTTTTCCTACTTACAACCAAGAATCTCTCAGATCCTTGTCCATGAGATTTACTTTTGAGACCGTATTTCTGAGCTATCTGATGAATGTATTTTCGTTCCTCATTGGTCAACTCCCTGGAAAATGTTAAATCATCCTGATTACAGGAGGCAGCATAATTTCTTATCATCTGTTCAATGTCTCTTTTGGTGATCTTTTGGTTAGTTGTCATTAAGCCAAGCCCCTCCCGACTAAACTGCTCTTTTACAGAAATAGGTTCAGCTATTCCTTCCCCTCCTTTTCCCAAACCTCCACCAGTCCATCCCATCTTTCTTAGGAGCTGGTTTCCAATATTGTCCTCTTTGATTTGCTGTTTGTATGCATCCTCATTTGATAGCCCTCTGATCTGATTTCGAGAAATGGCATCTTCAGCTGGACCCTTTTTCAGATTGTTAACCATGACAGGCTGGGTCCTCTTTAAAGCGTCTACAGCTGCCTTTGCAGCGTCATGTTTTACGGTTTTCTTAATTCCAACAGCTTCGGCTACAAACTGTTGATCTATGAGAACCCTACACTTCCAATCCAGTCCGGAGGCCCTCTCAAAGACATATTCTATGGTAACCTTATTAAACTGAGCAGTGTCATTTAATGTGCATACAGGATTTGAGGCATTTTCATAAAACCACAATGTCTTTCAGCTCTTTTGAAACACCATTGCCTGTGTTTTCTGCATTAATGGTCCTATGTATGTTAGGTTGCATCGACTTTAGAATTTGTACTGCTGACTCAGCTGCTGCATGCTTGCTGCTCTTTTTATTTCCAAATCCTTCAGCTATACAATGATCTTGCACATACACACAGCAACGCCACATATTGTTGGACATCATGTCATACTTGTAGTCAACTGTCATTTTGTTGAAAGTAGCTGAATTGTTCAGAATGCCTATTGCATCACAAGCATTTTCAGTAAGCATGAACTCTGACCATGGTCTGGTTGAAGTACCTCTAGTTGCCTCGGAAAAGGGTTGGTTTGACAGACCGCTGTCATTTACAAAAGCATCCTCTTGCTTTAGTGCCGGGGGGAAGTCATTCATGCGAGTGTCAGTTGAGCAAGCTACCACGTCATCGCGATAACCACGTCCACACTTTCGTTGAACGGTGGCAACATCCACCACTGGCTTCTGTAAAAGTTGTATTGCCAATTCAGCAGCTCGATCTCTGGCTCCAATTTTGCTCCATGAATATCCAGTAGCTAAGTACACATCTTGGTACCTTACCTCACAAGCATAGCCATCAGGTGGGACTCTCTTATGTTTTGGGATGCTGCCAGGAGGAAGGTCTTTAATAGGTACATAAATATATTCTGGATTGGTTTTACATGCCTGAATGCTCTGCGTTAATACATGGGTGAAGTTAATGTGTCTGCTATCTGAAGCCATTTTGGGATTTACTAAATTCTGTTTCACAATTGCAGATAGTTGCTTAATAATGCTCGATTTATCTGTAGAATGTATTGCACGAGCCATGAAATGGTTTACACCACTTTGCTTTTCTATTCCAGTCCTGCCCGTCTTTTTCAATGGCTTTACAAAGCCGATTCCTTTTCTCCCTTGCTGGCTTACACCCTTCCAACTATCAAGAACATTAGACCGAAAATCTTTGCCCAAGGATGAATAATGAGATTCAAATTTTGCCGAGTAGTCTTGTTCCATTTTGGTCATAAAATTGCCAGAGTCATTTCTATTCTGATCTGTATCATTTGGGTCATATATATAGGGCAGACAACTCAACTCCATTTCAGTGTGCTCTTCTGCATCTGAATGGTCACTCATTGTGACACAAGCAGCAGATGCTTGGGACTTGACATCTGAGGGATGAATGCTGTCCAACGGTTTCTGTATGTCTAAGTTTGTATTGGTTTCTCGTGTTTTTTGGAAAATTTTATCTTCCTCCACTGTGCTGACTACAAAATGCACAGGTTCAAAACGTGGCCGCGGTCCAAACTTTTTCTTTGAAGGTTGTCCATCTGAAAGCACATTAAAAAGTATTTTCAAAATTCAAATATGTTAAAGTGATTCTTTAATGTACAAGTAACACTGCCAATTATAACAAGTCTAACAGAAAGATCAAACATGCAAAACAACAATCATTATTATGCATGACCAAAGTATTTCAAAAGGATTCCTATCTACAGACATTGGTGCCTTTGGTTATTCACTGGCAAATCATGATTTTGTGTGTATCATGTAACTTTTATAAAGACAATCCCCTACCCATTATAAACCTTTCACTACTTCAAAGAAGACCATGCACAAAGATAAAAATGTAGTACTTCTTAATAATATTGTGCAGGATTGTGTTAAAGGACTTAAAGAGACAGTGGACTTATTTGCTACAAGACCTATGTGCTAAAAGGACTTATTTATCTTTGTTCAGTTTCTCTGAGCTTGACGCTTAAGGGCTCTTTCACACGGACATTCTGATCGAGTCCGGCAGCCCGTTTTTCAGGCGGAGCAGATTGGAACCTCCATTCTCTTCTATGGAGTAGCGGGTATGAATGGACATGTGTCCGTTTACACCCGCCAACATCCGATCCGCCAAAAAAGACGGCTGGGGATCCAATTCCTCTTCCGTCCATTGGATTGGGTCGGATGAAAACAGACAGAACTCCCATGAGCATGTGTGGGATGATGTCAATCCCAGACCAGCCAATCAAGAGGCCAAAAACCCAGCACTTGGAAGTAGCTGGATGACGCCAGCTGGCAAAGGATTAACCGCTGCAGCGCTGGAATGAGCGGGTGATTTTTTCTGTTTTGTTCTGCTTTCAGCTAAGGTGCCAGGGGATCACAGGGAACCTGTCTGTCGTCACACGCTACATACTCAGATGATGGAAAACAGTGCATAAATAAAGTCAGGCAGGGTAAAAAGGTAGGAAAAAGACTTCAGGTGTTCTGTGACCCTCTTGCTATCTCAGCTACTGAACATTCCCATATTTCTGTCCCGACAGGCTTTTTAAAGTGATTTCAAAGGTTCGTTTTTGGGTTTGTTTGTTTTTTTTAACCACTTGCCCTACAGAGGATTTACCCCCCTTCCTGACCAGGCCTTTTTTGTGATATGGCACTGCATTACTTTAACTGACAATTGCGCGGTCATGCAATGCTGCACCCAAATTAATAATTTTAAGATAATCGTATATTAATTGGTTTACATGAAAGTTATAGCGTTTACAAATGGTGGTATATATACTGGAATTTTTATTTTTCTTATACTAGCAATGGCGGCGATCAGTGACTTATAGCGGGACTGTGGCAGGCATTCGGACACTGGGTGGGAACTGACTGCCACCGACATCCCCAGTGAAACGAATACAGTGCTAACAAAAAGCCCTTACACTGTACTAATGACACTGGGCAGGAAGGGGTTAACATCTGGATCAAAAAGTAAACTGTGTGCTGTGTGTGTTTTACATTGTGTGCTGTTTTACTTGGGAGACATGCTGCTTTGTATCTCTCTGCTGTGCAGAGAAATACAAATCAACATGTCCATGCTGACAGGAGAGAAACCTATGTTGTTTACACACAGGTCTCTCCCTTGTCAGCTTTGCCGACAATCAGAGCCAGCGGGGACCCAGTGATTGACAATCCCAGCCGCCAATAGTGGTGCGCACGCCCCCTACTCAGAGATGCAAATCACGATTATATAAGTGATTTTGCGCAGCTGTGCCGCCCTGTAGCAGTACTTCTGCTATAGGGCAGATGGCAAGCCGTTAAATAATAAACATGTCTCACTTACCTGCTCTGTGCGCAGAGCAGCCCTGATCCTCTTTTTTTTACGGGTTCCCAACCGGCACTCTTGGCTCCTCCCCATCCCCCCTGCTCCCAGTAGCAAGCCACTTTCTATTGGGGCACTGGTGCATGCTCACTCCCAAACCACGCTCTATGCATCAATAAGACAGAGCTGCGACTCTGCCCCACCCCCACTCTCTCCTCATTGGCTCACTGGTTGTGACTGACTGCAGCGGGAGCCAAGGGCTCCTGCTGCTGTACCTCAGCCAATGAGGAGAGAGAGAGACCCAGGACAGCCAAGGTCCCCTGCACATCCCTGGATCACAAGAGGGTTCAGGTGAGTATTGGGGGGCTGTGAGGGAAGCAGCACACAGGTTTTTTTTTTACATTCATGCACGGAGGGCTGCCATTGCAAGCTGCTTGTTGAATGAATATATATATATACACACACACACATACAAATAAACTTGTGAAGTTTCTTTAAAGTGGTTGCAAAACTAGGTGTGTTTTTTTTTTTTACCTTGATGTATTATATTTAGGTAAAAAAAAAAAAAAAACCTGTGTTCTGCTCTCCCTCGAGGTCTCCCCATACTTACCTGACCCTGATCTCAATCCAGCGCTGTGTTTGACAGAAGCGCCTCTCTCCTTTCTTAAAGGTCATTGTCTCCCAATTCTGTCAATCAAAGCCAATCAGGAGACAGCAGGGAGTGGGGCAATGCCGCGCACTGTGTGTCAATGGACACACACAGCGTGACTAAGGAATGAGCCCGCACAAGTGCCCCCATAGCAAAGCCACTTGCACTGGGGGCACTTGGCAGGGGGAAGGATCTAGGAGCTCCAGTGGGAAACCCCAGAAGAGGAGCCTACTCTGTGCTAAACCATCACACAGAGCAGGGAAGTATGACATGTTTGTTATTTAAAAAAATAAAATTTGTAGGTTTACAATCACTTTAAGTGAAAGGTCACACCTTTGATCTACATTTACCTAGTTCAGCTATTACTACGAATGTCCAAAGAGTGAACTGTTAATTCCAAGCTAATGACTTGCATAAAGAGGGATAACAAGGAACTAGATGTTAGATGGTCATGCTTCCGAACAATGTTCTTAAAGTTTTTTTTCTTGTATATTTTTTATGTTATAAATCCTGAAGTTGGTAATGTATATACAGTACAATCTAAAATACAACCCATACCAAAATTCCTGGATTTTCTTCATAATTCTTGGCCTTTGCAATGTCCAAGTCTGACAGACTAACAAGGGTTACTGTGGTTCAAAGTGAGCAAAAGATTCCCAAGAAATGCTATGAAGTAAAGTATGGCCATCATAAAAGAGAGGTCCTCCCACATTATTCCAAAGACACAATTATTCCTCATTTAAAGAAAATAATAATTCCTCGGCACTCCTGACCATATCACTGCATCCCAAACTATTGGTGTATGGTATACAGGCCTAAAATAGAGACAATTATTAATCTTTCATACAGCTCTTTCAGACTTGTTAGCCGTTGTCATTGCAAGATATAGAAAGCATGGCTTCTAGATAAAGGGAACAAAGAACAAAGACAGTGTGAAGATGAACCTGTGGAATCCTGTGCATCATTTAAAGCAGCGGTGAACAAGGCAACCTACCTGCATCTGATGAACTGGGTCTTTTTGCAGCTTTGGCACCGGGAACCAGCTCAAAAGATGGCATCTCTCCAATGTCAATTCCTTCAGCCATCTGGTAAACTTTCTGTGTCAGCTGCTCTCCATAACTGACCAACAAAACAAGAATCACAGGTGAGGATTATACATACAGTGTGTGGAAATGTTTTTAATAATTTCTTTCTACGTTATTTTATGTAATTCCAGACCTCTGGTGTCATTGATGTTCAGGTGCCTCCTAGACTTGTCAGTACAAAGTTTTCTAACCTGCATGCTTGGCTGTGCTAAGGAAGGTATTATGAATCATATGACATAGGCACAGCCGCTGGGGGTGGGGGATGACATGTAACATGGACATAGCCACCACATGGGGGAGGGGGGTATACATGTGACATGGGTACAACAGCATCATGAGAGGGGAAAAACACACGTCATTGGGAAATACATGTGATGCAGAGAGGTCATAGAGGGACATACGCGCGACACAGGTGCGGTCGTCATGGAGGGGGGACGGAACGTACGTGCAATGCGGGTACGGTCGTCGGGGGGGAACGTACATTCGACGCGGTTAACAGCCGTGGTGGGAAGGGGGGGAGATACGTGCGGCGCGGGCACGGTCGTCATGGGGGAGGGATGCGTGCGACGCGGGCACGGTCGTCATGGAGGAGGGATGCCTGCAGTGCGGGCACGGTCGTCATGGAGGAGGGGAGGGATGCATGCAGTGCGGGCACGGTCGCCATGGAGGAGGGATGCATGCAGTGCGGGCACGGTCGTCATGGAGGAGGGATGCATGCAGTGCGGGCACGGTCGTCATGGAGGAGGGGATGCATGCAGTGCGGGCACGGTCGTCATGGAGGAGGGATGCATGCAGTGCGGGCACGGTCGTCATGGAGGAGGGATGCATGCAGTGCGGGCACGGTCGTCATGGAGGAGGGATGCATGCAGTGCGGGCACGGTCGTCATGGAGGAGGGATACATGCAGTGCGGGCACGGTCGTCATGGAGGAGGGATACATGCAGTGCGGGCACGGTCGTCATGGAGGAGGGATACATGCAGTGCGGGCATGGTCGTCATGGGGGGGGGGGGGGGGGGGGGGGGGGGGGGAGAGAGAGATATGCGACGGTTGTCATGTGGGGGAATACGTGCTACACGGCTGTCATGGGGATATGTGCGACACCATAGGGGGAGGGGTATGTGTGGCGCGGGCCCGGCTGTCATGGGGATACGTGCGCTGCCATGGGGGGAGGGATACGTGCGACGCGGGCACGGTCGTCATGGGGGAGGGGGGGGGGGGGGGAAGAGATACGTGTGACGTGGGCACGGTCGTCATGGGGGGGGGGGGAAGAGATACGTGTGACGCGGGCACGGTCGTCATGGGGGGGGAGAGATACGTGTGACGCGGGCACGGTTGTCATTGGGGGGGGGGGTGTGACGCGGGGAGAGATACGTGTGACGCGGGCACGGTCGTCGAGGGGGGGGGGGAGAGATACGTGTGACGCGGGCACGGTCGTCATGGGGGGGGGGGGGGGGGGGGAAGAGATGCGTGCGACGCGGGGGGTACGGTCATCTTTGGGGGGGGGGGGGGGTACATCTGACGTGGACACAGTGCGTGCGGCTGTCATTAATGGGGATATGTGTGATGCAGCAACGGTCATCTTTGGGGGGGGGGGGTACGTGACGTGGACACAGCGGTACAGGCCCTGCTCTCACCGGTTTCCAATGTAAGACGATGTTGCTCCACACCACAGACAGGGCGATAAGTTGGTCCGCCTTCCTCCCGGGGTAGAGGTGGATGTGGCGGCGGCCCAGGAACTCCCTGCGGGCCCTCCACTGCTTGTCATTCTCATGGTACTGGCGGAAGTCCTCCAGACACACCGGCCTTTCCATCTCAGGGTCGTACTCGCTTTGTCCGGCCATCTTCTTCTCCGGTGATCGGCCCACCACACGACAGGACCCCCGAGCTTCTCCCGCCTGGAACCTCACCGCTCCCTCCACACCAGGCCGGGGTCTCTCTATGAGTAACACTGGAGCTCCATTGCCGGACGTCTTAAGCGGCGATACAGACAAACCATAGAGGAGAGGAGGGGGCCACAAGAGAACGGAACTATAGAGACTTGCCGACTGCTATGTGAAGCCGCGCAGCGCCCCTGGTGGAGGGCCGGGGAGTGGGCCGAATGTCTCAGTTCAGTGGACAGCAGAATTGGAGGAAATATCTTATAACAATCAGATTGGTTTTAGTCGTCTCTTCAATAAAATATAAAATTACTGTCTGATGGAGGATCTTTTCTTGAGTATTCATCCTTACAACTAGACCCCACACCTAGGACAAGTACAATATCCAGGGGCCTGTACCATCCATACACTGCTCAAAAAAATTAAAGGAACACTTCTTAATCAGAGTATAGCATGACGTCAATTAAACTCCTGGGATATTGATCGGTCAGTTAAAGTAGCGGAGGGGGTTGTTAATCAGTTTCAGCTGCTTTGGTGTTAATGAAATTAACAACAGGTGCACTAGATGGGCAACAATGAGATGATCCCCAAAACAGGAGTGGTTTTACAGGTGGAGTCCATTTTTTTCCCTACTCATCTTTGATGTTTTTCACTAGTTTTGCATTTGCCTAGGGTCAGCGTCACTACAGGTAGCCTGAGGTGATACCTGGACCCTACAGAGGTTGCACAGGCAGTTACTCTAGGAGAGCTGGACAGGGCCATAGAAGGTCCTTGACCCATCAGCAGGACCAGTATCTGCTCCTTTTTGCAAGGAGGAACAGGATGAGCACTGCCAGAGCCCTACAAAATGACCTCCATCAGGCCACTGGTTAAATGATACCAGATGACACCAGATACCAGAGTGTGGTTGTAAATGGGGTCCATTGGAAACAGAGAGCAGTCACTAGAGGTGTAGCCAGGGGCGTATTTACCACAAGGCAAACAAGGCACTTGAATAGGGTGGCATTTTTCAGGAGGGCAGAACCCCCCCCCCCCCCCCCAGAAGAAGGGATGAAAAAAGGGACACATGCTCCATGGGAACCAAGTGGGATCCAAGAGAAGGTGCGGGCTGCTTAATGGTGTATGTAGAACCTGACCCTCATTCCTGTGGATGTCCGAAGATGAAGATGAGTGTCTTTCTCTCTATGGCCTGGGGGGGGGGGGGGGGGGCATAGTGGAAGGCTCTCCCAGGTGGGGGACAGGGGTTTTGTTGGTCAATGTCAAGCTTTCTCCACAAGAGGAGCAAGAGGGCGGGGGGGTTGGTCGGTGCCCGTGGGGGCGGACGACCTTTGCGTTGCCTAGGGCAGCACAAAACCTATATATAGAACAATGGGTGTAGCCCAGGGATATGTACTAGGTCCTGTTCTATTTAATCTATATATAAGTGATATAACTAAAGGTTTGTTGGGTAAGGTATGTCATTTTGCTGATGACACAAAGGTATACAATGGGGTTGATATCCCAGGAGGTGGGAAGCATTATGATATTTACTTTGAACATTTTAAATGAGAGGTAGCAGTCTCATTTGAGTTGAATAGATTTGTGAAAAAAGGTGCAACCACATCACTAAGTTTCTTGTAATATACTGTAAAGATGAGAATCCATCAGGGCCAGAGCACTTGTGGATCTTAAGTTCCTTAATAGTTTGAAGTACTTTCTCAACAGTGTTGTGTGCTCCTGTAGTAGCAACTTTGGGAATACCTGGAAAACTCCGGACACGAACTTGAGGAAAACAAACTTTTTAGTAATCAGCGCTGAGTAACCTAGCAAGCAGGTCATACCAGCAAGCCAAGTAGCTTGAGAAAACATCTCACAGAGTATACATATTAGCAATTACTTCACAATACATATATTTCCTCTTTCACTTTTTGTAAATTCAAAAAACTTTCTAAGCAATTCAGAACATGACCTTGCTAGATATAATTTATCTTCCGCTACAGATAGGAGTACCAGCTACAAGCTGGAACACCTTACTTCACAGTAAATAAGGGAGGGGGGGGGAAGTGAGCTGACAACCTTGTTTTTTGCTGTTAGAAATGTTAAAGTTTAAAGGGGAACTCTGCAATACTTGGGTGCTGCCACATTCCCAGCATCTGTTGATCATCTGTAATTTTGACAAGAAGAGTATTGTTCAAAAAGAAAGATGTCAGTTGCAGAAGCATCAATGGATTTGGTATACAGGTTTAGCAAGACGATGTTGGAATTCATCCAGGATATGTAAAGGTTTGAATGTATGTAAATTATATCTAGTTTTAGGAGAGAGGCTGCAGTGTTTAGGAACAAGGGAATTTTATTAGATTCCAATTTTATTTCCATGGGCATAAAATGTTTGACATGTCCACCCTATGTGACATTCTGCTTTATCAGGAAGACAAAGGTTAACATCCATGTAGATGCTGTCACCCTGTTGCCTCTTATGAGCAGTGGGTGACTGCTTGAACTGTCCAAAGGCCACATCCAACTCTTTTTCAAGACATTTGGTGTGAGACGCCTGTTCTTTTTTCCAGAGAAATGCATGCTGTATGCTATATTTTTGAATGACAGATTTATAGGCTTCTCAAAGTGTGGTGTAAGAGGAACACAAATGTTCATTAAGGCAGAAGTATTCAGCAGAGTGCAATGTAAGTCTTCCAAAATGTGGGCAAAAAGAGAGCAGAGAGTCATTATTCAGACTCCAAGGTGAAGAGCATGTGTTTTGCAGTAGTGAGCTCCACCGAATGAGAATAGGTCTGACCATGGAACACCAAGTACATACTCCGCAGTCTCATGTGCTCAGAAACAACACCCACAGCTTGCAGTAGGCTAGACTTTAATCTTGTATATGCTAGAAAATACCTCGCTTTGCTGCCCTCTCAAGACTGGGGACATTTGTAAATACTGGACAAGAACAGAAACAGAGGGCACACCAGCCTAGTGCATTATCCTCAAGGCTTCACTCTAATAATTGAAAAAATGTGGTAAGTATCATACTCACAAACCAACAGATGTGTCTCAGCTTACCACAATAACCGTAAGATCCAGAAAATGGGGCATGACGACTGATGGTACAGATGCAAAGAACCAACTGTCTGAGTCATTTCGAGGCTTTGCCTCTTCCTCAGAGCCATAAGCTCCCGATCCGGGGGACCATATTTGAATGATATGGGATAGGAGTAGTCAAAGGGACTTTGACCACTTTTTTTTATTATTAAACTGAAGCCGTGAGCATAACGCACTAAGCTGGTGCGTCCTCTGTTTCTTTTCTGTTTTTGTCCATGGAACACCAAGTGCAAGCTCAATCTTTCACTGCAAAAGAATAATTCCAGTTATCAGCATTTTATAAATGCGTTTGCCAGTGCCACTGGTCTTTGAATGAAGCACTAATGGAAGGATATGTGAGAAGCGTGTCTTTATACCACTTTTGTGGGTACTATGTTTACTTCAACCAAATAAAGATAGTTTGCGGATCTTTGCCAGTGCATTCTCTTTTTTTCTATAACATCGTATTGAATAAAGAGACTCTGCCAATAATTAGAACTTTGGAAAAGACTTGTAGATCCCAGCACTTTTTATGCCTCAACTTCAGCTTAAAGGTAAAAAACACTCCAATACATTTGTAGGCTCCCTGTCCCAAAACACCTTTGTCCTACTCCTCAGTAGCTCTAGGTTCCACCCATCCCTCAAATTTCCAGGTTGTAGAGCAGGGGTCTCCAAACTTTCTAAACAAATGGCCAGTTTACGTTCCTTCTAACTTTAGGAGGGCCAGACTGTGGTCATTGGGAGTAGAAAATGTTCCGGCATCAGTGGGCGTACACAATGCCTAATTTTTGCTGTCATTGGAAGGAATTGTGCCCCATTGTTGGTGTCATTAGCAGGAATTGTCCTCCATCGATGTCATTGGGAGGAAATTGTGCCCTTTTGTTGGTGTTAATGGGGGGGGAATTATGCCCCATTGTTGGTGTCAGTGGATAAAATATTGTCCCAAAAAAGTAAATAAAGAGCCGCATCCAGCCCCCAGGCTGCTGCACGAGGATCGAGGTAGCTGATCGGAGTGAGGGGCGGCAAGAGCCGGTGAAGAGGAGGAGAACAGTGGAGAAGGAAGACAGCTGGTAGGTAAGAAAGAAGTTATAGTGAGAAAATTTCGAAATGCGTTGGGTACCCTAGGCTGACAAATCGACAATTAAGATGTTCTATTTGTAGGGTTTGAATATGAACAATTCAGGCTACCACTAGGAAGATTCTTAAGAAAGTGAGGGGATCTCAAACTCTGCAGGTTAATAATCCCATCCAGCCACAGTCCACAAAAGGGACACGCGCTATTTATGACCTCACGGTTTGGTCATATTTACCAGGTGAGAGCACAACTGGTGAAGGTGCACTCATGGTTGTCATAAATATGCAGAAGAGGTGAACCAAGCACAAGTCGTTTTCATCACTGTAAAGAGTGTGAAATCACAGATGAAATATGGACACTTAATTAATGGAATATTGCATTGATTTTGGCAAGGTTTTTGCAGATTATACATGTAATTTATGTATTTATCAGTGGAGCGCGACATCATTATATTTATTTTGATTTAGGATAAAAAGAAGATGCTACTGATTTTTAAGGCCCAGTGATATTTGTGCAAATGTTTATCAAATTGCTATTTTCACTAAGAAACACTAAAATCCTTATTTGCACACAAACGTAACATAACTTACAAACTTCCTGCTAAATTCCTACTAAGGTCTCGCTCATATGGGGTGTACTAAAGTGTATGTCCATGGAGGGCCATGTTTACCTGCATGGGGATGCATAGGTGTTCTGTGCAGGCAGTCCCATTCATGTCAATTGGGACCTAGAGGCTACAAGGACAGAACTAACATCTATGAGGGTGTAGGTGCATGGCCTCCAAACGCAGACAGTGCGAGTTCAGAGACATGCACCCACATGGATGTCAAGT